AACAAAATCAACTTATTCAAACAACAAAATCAAATTACTTAAACAACATCTCAGATCCATGGAAGAAAAATTCAGGTTCATTTAGTACGAGAATTTAAATTAAACTGATTTTAATCATAATTTTAAAATTAAAATTATGATTAATGATTTTAAGTTTAAATCATGAAATTATAATTTAAAATTAAAGTATGAATCACTTTGAATCAAAAGAAAGGTAATTTTAAAATTATAAGTGATTCTGATTTTAAACATCACATTAAATTCTAAATTATAATTCATAATTAAGATCCAGAATTATAATTTTAAATCATGATTTAAACCAAACACTAATTCTAAATTATGATTTAAAATTATAATTTAAAATCACTATAAATAAATACTAATTTTAAATTAAAATTTAAAATTATGATTATAGATTTATCTACCGAATTCACTGACAAAAAAATGTATATATAGTTCCTCAACACTCTTCACAGTCGAGTTGTAAGTTGTCGGAGATCCATGTCGTTAGAGTCGAACTTATCCACCGCAGATTGCATCGATCTCGGCGAGAGCCGCCGCGAGAGAGGCGTGGCGAGAAGAGAGAGAGAGGAATCTGAAGAGGGCGGAGGAGAGAGAGATCTCATGCCGACGGAAGAGAGAAACTTGGCGATGATGGAGGAGAGAGAGACTCTAGGCCCATACACAAAGAAGAGACCAGACGAGAGCGGAGAGAGGGCCCACAGAACCCATGTCAGATTGTAGGGCCCATACAACCAAACCTTTTTATTTTAGGAAAATAGTAGAAAATAGGCCAATATGAAAAGCTTTAGAAAGTATATAGGCTAATTTTTAGTTATAGAAATTAATAGGTCATAACTTGTCAAGTTATGGTTCATAACCAGATAAGCTATGGACAAACTTGTCAAATTATGGTTCATAACTAGACAAGTTATGGACAATTATGGACAATAACTTGTCAAGTTATGGTTCATAACCAGACAAGTTATGGACGAAAACATTAATTTGGCCTATTTATTAACTTATGTAAACTATTGGCCTATTAATTTTAATTCATCTCAAATTTTAACATATTTTTCTCTTTCTCCCTTTATTTTAAGAAATTAAAATAATAAACTTAATAAAATCATAATGCGGCCCACACAACTGACGATCCGCATCAGATTGTGAAAATCGCTCGCTTGGACTACAAAAGCATGTCATTTCTCAATGAAAAATGAGACTGCGTTTGAGGTTGCTTTTGCTTCTCTTAGAATCATTTTGCACAAAAACTTTTTAGGTTAGTTAGAAGACTATACTTCTGTTTCTACTTTTATTTAAATAAAAATAGTGTTTTTATTAAAAGTCTTATGGGTTCGTTTAGTACGATAATTTAAACTAGAGTGATTTTAATCATGATTTTAAAATTAGAATCATAATTCATAATTTTGTGTTCAAATCATAATTTTGAAACCATGATTTAGAATCAGAGGTTTGAATCACCTTGAATCAAGAGGGGAGTGATTTTAGAATCATGAGTGATTCTGGTTTAAAACATCACATCGGATTCTGAATCATGATTCAGAATCATCCAAAGCAAACACTTATTCTAAATCATAAATCAGAATCATGATTTAATCACTATAAATAAACACTAATTCTGAATCAGGATCCAGAATCATAATTATGGATCCATCTACTAAACGCCCCCTACAATTATTTTAAAAGCACACCGAATTGAATTATCAATTAGCTTAGCCGCTACTTATAGAAATTATTGTATGCACACGTATATGGAAAATAAATGAAAAGAATGCATCTTTTATTTATTTATTTACTTAAATTTTTTTTGTTTGTTTTTGAAATGCATGATGAGAGAGGATATACAACTTATACAAAGGCCAATGGTACATGTTCGCAACTAGGTTTGCACCTGCTAAAGACCTAATCCTTGCCAAATCTCCCATCCAAATTTATTTAATAAAAGAAGAATAAAAAAGAGTAAAATTTACAAAATAAGGCAAAAGCTACCCAATATCCAAGAGCTAAGAGAAAATTGAAAAACAAAACAACCCCAACAGAAAGAAAACTCTTATATATTAGACAAAACCAACGACGCATAAGAGAGGAAACAAGCAAACCATAACTGCCTCTTGCCAGATCTGACCCTATAGAAAAAGATTTTTTATATTGATGTCTAAAACCAGATATAATTCCAAATATATTGACGATGAATAATTTGATAGCTTCCAAAGACTACAAAGCTCCACTTAAGAAGCAAATTCGTTACCAATATTCTTGGCAAAACAATCTTTTTAGAAAAGTCCTCAGAGTCAAATATAGGAGGAACCCAATTGACTGGAATAATTTGAGAAGCCTTAGGGCTCGTTTAATTCACTGATTCGAGTTGATATGTGATTTTATATAAGAACTTTTTACTGTAGTAAAAAAGTTAGATGTGACTGTTTCTGAGAGCTTTTTATTATAACAAAACTCGAATTCTAAACTCAAATCGGTAAAATAAACGGGATCTTAAAATTTCAATCCTCAACATGAAGCCGACGAAGAATAACAAGATCACCCTCAAAATAGCATCATTTTTTTTTTTTTTGAATGAATGATATGAGAATGGAAAAAAAAAAAAAAAGAAAAAAAGCATCTTGAAAGAATTTCACATTCCAGCCAGATTGATACTCGAAAGACTACTCATGTCACACTAAAGTCAATCATTCTATTTATTAAGAAAAAGATTAAAAAAAAAAAAAGGAAATCGTTTTTAAAAGGAAAAGAGCATAAGAGAAAGCTATAAGAGTGAAAACCCAAAGGACTAACAAAACAGTGAATATAATGGATTTGTTATCCCAAATAATAAACAACAGCACTGCACCAATTATAACTATACATGGAGAGTAACAAAAGCAGTTCTTTTTTCCATCGCTCCAAAGTCTTTGCGGGAAGTCGCTCACGAGGAGGAACATATTAAGAAGAGTATGGAGTACTAACTACCTTTGGTGGTGGCGTAATGATAAAAATGGTCTCTCTCATTCACAGTATAGGGTTTGTAAAAAGAGACAAAATAAGTTTAGACTTTTGACTATTGCACCGATAAAATCAGTTGATTCAATCAATAGACGTTAGATAGGAGCGTGAGGACACTAACGATTTTTTTTTTTTAGAAAAAAGAAGAAGAGTTTGGAGCACATGTGTGCATATTTTTCTTGTTTTCTGTTGGGAAAAAAGAAATACATAAAACTAAACTTAAATTAAAAACTTAAATTGTATATGTAAGAAGAAAATACTATAATAAAAAAATTTAATTTAAATTTTTATAAAAAAAAAAACACATAATAATATAATTTGAGTTGTAAGTTGAATGGTAAAAAAAAAAAAAAAAAAAAAAAAAAAAAAAAAACAAGACCTAATCTTCTTCCATACGTAGAAAAAGTGCTTTCACATTATTAAAAAATAGAAAAAAGAAAAGAAAAAATCTATTCGTACATATCCTGATATCCAAACAAATGTTTAACACTTATTATTGACTATAAATATTAATATGGTTCTATTTATTTTATTAATTTGAGTTTAAAATTTAACTTTTATTATAGTAAAAAATTCTTAAAAACAGTTACATTTAACTTTTTTACTGCAGTAAAAAAAATTTATATAAAATTACATCTCAATTCGAATTAAAAACTTGAATCAACGAAATAAACGTCGCGTGCTCTCACAAATTAACATTGTTTACAATTTTATCCTCACTGGTGCCACAAATGCCCAGATGATGTCATCATTGATCATAGGTTATACGCAGGTCTACTTCTTGTAGTAGGGGGGTCTATATATGCCATAATTTAATGCAATAAAATCTTGGAGCGCAAATGTATTTTCTGCGATAAATGCGGATCTCAGATTCTCAGAAAAAGAGAAAAAAAAGAAAAAAAAAAAAAGAGAAAAAGAAAATTAAAGTATTTTCTGTGGAGTAAATAGCACTCCCTAGCTAGCTTGCTTTTGCTGGTAAAAAAACAATATAGCATTAATGTGAAAATCGCTAGTGCATTCATACGTTAAGACGCTCGTGTACTCTCTTTTTTTTTTTTTTTTCCTTCTTCTTCTCTTTATTAAATAGTAAAACATGTCTAATCAATTATGAAACTAAATAATGAGAAATGTTAGTGTTATTATTTATGTCACTCTCTTTTATCATTTTTTTATTTATTATTTGATATATGAATTCTATTAATATGATGTGATATTATTTAAATAGAAAATTAAATATAAAAATTTACGTGTTAAATATTAAAGGCAGAAAATAATAAAAAGAATTACGACCGAATTAACACAGTTGGTTTATTTACCATGATTTGCCGTGTTCCTGAAGCTTTTGCCAATTAGTCTTCATCATGCCTACCTCCCTCCTTTGGAACACTAACAAATAGCTAGTGCAGGCCAGCCTACTTATATATATGGTACTCGAACAATCATATATATATATATGTGTGTCCATGCATATGTATAGCGTACAGATGAAGCACCAATAATATCACCATGCAATTATTAAAAAGCCTATAGTATATCTCTGCTTCTGTTTTCCTCCTGTATTGTAATGGCTCGTACATCATTATCAGAAACATTGATAATACATACATAATTGTCTTCTGAACAAATGACACGTCCATTCAGTTAGGAAAACATTAACTCAGAGAAGATAAGATAATTCTTATCATACTTTTCTTTTTTTTTTTTTTTTTAAAGGATAACAATCAAGCACGATATAAAAAAATGAAAAAAAAAAAAAAACACTAATTATATCTCAAATAATATATAGTAATAGACAAAGAAAAAGAAAGTACAAAAGAGTCGATCAATCACAATGACCAAATTCTTTCCATTAGAAAGCAACTAAAAATGGAACAAGTTCGAATCATAAGTTACATGCAAACGCATACTGATAACAAATTTTTTCACGAACCACTCAACCGTTCAAGACCAAGAAGGAACTGAAAATTAAGTAAACATTTAGGTTTGTTAATGATATTCTTCAGCATTCTGCTTATAGACAAGCTAGACATATACATACATAATTATTCATTATAATATTCTGGCTAGCTAGAAGAGACTGATATAACGTCAAGTCAATAGGATATGTTTTCCTTACACGGGACAAAACAAATTAAGCCTGCTGCTAACTTAATTCAACATCACCCCAAGCAAACCCGTTGCGCAGCTTTAAATACCTTGCATAGTACATGTCAAATATCTACAGTGATATATAATCGTTAATTAAAGAGATCTGATCTTAAAGCGTAGTACTTATATTAATGACTCACTTGTTATACACTTGTCGGTTCATCTTATCTTTAGTGAGCTTCAGACCACCATATTTTTCCCACAAGTTTTCTCCCTCTCCAAACAGAAGGTGAAAGCAGCTGTTGGGATATTGCAGTTGAGTGCCTACATTGGAAGTTGAAGGTGAAAGGCCTTCATCCATCAGTTGAAGTCCCATGTGATCATGAATATTATGCCTCTCATCATGAATATTATGCTCTTGTTTTAGATTCAATTGATCATCATGATCATCATCAAAATAAGCAGCACTGCTTTTGTAATAATCTTCTTTCCTCTTCTTTCTACACTCACTTGTCATTCTAACATAAACACTTGCACTCTCCCACTTCTCTTTACACTCAAGTGAAGTTCTATCATACCCCAAAGAAGCCATTTTTGAAGCTATTTCCTCCCAAATCCCATCCTTCACATACTCACTTAATCCTCCTTGAAAAGTCTCTTCCATGTTATACTTACTTCTCAGTTCTATTAAGCTAGAAATCTCCTCTTCACTCCATCTATGATAACTAGCACAACTACTCATATCGCTCCGAATATGATCCTTTCCAATCACTCTCTCAGGAAAAGAAGGCAATTCAATTCCCTTTCCAGCTCTAAACTTCTTCAAAGTCCCCATTAAAGCGACATCTCGAGCTTCGACCCAAGCTTTCTCCTTGGCCCAAAATTCACTTACTTCTTGGTTGAATTTCGCAGCCTCTTGTTTTCTCCATTCTTCTTCTTTGACCAATCTCTCTTCCTCTTTATCTATAATGCTCTTCAGCATCTTCTCCATCCATGTCTCTTGTGTCACCATGATCTTCTTCATCTGCTCATCCACAAAGTCCTCAACCTTCGACTTCCATGACAATGAGCAATTCCTACTCGGCCTTTCATTGTTAATTATGCCCCCTTTCATCTTCATCTTGAAATTAGCAATGGTCGAAAGATCGTCTTCATTGTTGTTCTCCGAGGATGAAGTTTCGAATTCAGTCGAAGTAATGGAGAAGCTAAGGCTTTCATGGTTAATATTGGTTGTCCTCATGTTGAGATTGGGAGTACTAGTTGTACTGGTCATGGGGTGATCATAAAGAAGGGGATTTCTACTGAGATCATTGGTGTTTAAGAGCAATGAGGATGATTTAATATTGCTAGTTTGATCTCCATAGATGGCTTCGAGTTGACGAAAGAATCGGTAGTGTTTCCCATCTTGTCTCCCAGCTTTACCTTCTTTGGTTTTCTTGTAGTACTTGTACAAATTCTCGAACTTCTCTTTGCATTTCTTCCCACTCCTATGGTACCCATGTTCCTCAGCCATTATCCTACAAATCAAGAAAAATAACACAATATATATAGTACTCAACAATATTCTTTGACAATATTCAACAACATGAATCATGTTCTCTACCAAGATCATTACATGAATCTAAAAACAAAAAGAAAAAAAAAAAGAAGAGAAAAGGGTAGTAGTAGTAGTAGTACTAGATCGATTTTAGGTGCTATTCTTTTTATAGTTATATATAATTATAGTATTTATGTATTATAAATAATTATAGTAATTATTACAAAGAGATCAGCGTTCATTATATTGTTATTAATTACAAAGAGTATTGAGCAAAGGCAATTAATTCCTGATCATATAAAAAACTAGTTAAGCCTTGTGTGGAAGATAATGTGTTGGTGAGTGCTGCTTCATTATAAATACCTGTCACCACTTTTTCAGACCCAGCATGTAAATATAAACAACTTCTGAAAAACGAGCCGTATTTTGCATGACAAAACCAAGCAAAAACCAAGAGGAAAAGAAAAGTGAAAAATGACTTGTCCATCTATATATATATATATATATATATCCGGGGCAAGATCTTTCCTTTTCTTTTTCGACGGAAATAGGTACCCATTTTTCCTCCAACAAATTAGGAAAGTTAAATTATGAGAGCAAGAAGAAGAAGAAGAAGAAGCAGAAAAATTACACAAATATACCCTAGTTAGCTGACAGTTCACCAAGTAATTGTTAGCTCTTTGTTTTAGAGGGAAAAAAATTATTTTGAGAGAAAAGAAAAACTAGGGTTTGAGAGATTACTATATATATGTATTGTATATATACATAAATATATATGTGTGTGTGTGTATATATACATACCTAGAAACTTCATCCCAGAGAGGAGCTTTCTGATTAGTATCTTTGAACTTGGAATTGAGACGAGATCTAATCTCAAGAAGAGTGAGAGTCTCCTGTCTTGGCCACCGACTGTTGTTTCCTTCATTGTTACCATCCATAATAATATTCCCACCAATACTACTATTATTGTTATTCCATATTCCTCCACACCTCTCCACCGTCTGATCATGATGACCATACATTAATGCGCAACTAGTAGCGCCAGAGATCAACTGATGATGATCATGATGAGCAATATGATGACCATGATGATGATCATGATTATCAGAACCAAACTCCACTAAACCACCACCGGAGACTAACGGGAAAGGTGGCGTCAGATTCCGGTGGACGGAGAAGCTGGGCTCAGCTGGGAAATTAGTAACTGGGTGATCGTGCTGGTGATGATCAGGTCTCGTCGTCGTCGCCGTGAAGTGCCTGAATTCCGCCGGTAGTCCGTACGGGTCGTCCATTAATTTTGCTTACTGTTTAGAGAGAGAAAGTGAGAGAGAGAGAGAAAGTGGTCTTAGTAGTACCGCAGGCTACAGCCAGTTGAGAGAGAGGAGAGGAATGAGAAAAGGTTGAACTGAGAGAGACTGAGGTTTTTTTTTTCTTTTTTTCTTTTTTTATTTTATTTTCTTTTCTTTTTTTTTTTTGGAGACAGGATCCGAGTCTACCGGGACTTTCGTCACTCTTTCATCACTCGGATAAAGGGGGAGAGAGAAGAAGGGTCCGTCATGGAAATACGAATTAAAAGAAAAACAAAAATTAAATTAAGATGTATATCATTTAATTGATGTACACGGAAAAAAAAAGATTAATTTAATGAAAGTGCGTCTATTAAGCCCGTTCTTTTCACTGATTCGAGTTTAGAATTCAAGTTTTACTACATTAAAAAAATTCTTAAAAACAATCACATCTAACTTTTTTACTACAATAAAAAACTCTCATACAACATCACATCTCAACTCGAATTAAAAACTCAAATTAACGAACCGAACGGGCCTAACACTATTTGTTATTTTTTATACACATATTTTTAAACCAGTTATTATTCTACTTGTTACATCTTTTAGAATTTGAAAAAAGGTTTACAATTAATATCATTCTTAATTTTTATTTTTCACACACATATTATTAGACCACTCTCATTTTATTTATTACATTTATTTTAAATTTTTTTAAAATCAATTTCTTTTAGGAAGATATATGATTAATAAGAAAACTAAACCAACCAAACCAAATTAAACAAAAAAAAAACCAAACTAAACCTATTAATAATCGGTTTGGTTTAGTTTAAATTTTTTTTAAAAAAACCAATTAACTTGATTTGGTTTGTGGTTTTAACTTTTACAAAACCAAACCAAACCAAACCTATTAATAATCGGTTTAATTTGGTTTAAATTTTTAAAAAACCAATTAAATTAGTTTAGTTTGTGGGTTTAACCTTTAAAAAACCAAACCAAATCAATTCATTTTATATATACTTTTCTAAAATTATATATATTTTGTAGATCTGTAACGTATTCATATATAAAAAATACGTTCACTCCAATATTAAATGATCATAACCCTAAAAGTTTCTATTATGAGAAATGTCTATCATACAAAATATTAGTACCAGTTACGATTAAGAGGGTTTGAGAAGAGGTTGTAAAATATTAGTTCAAACCAATTAGAAAAACCAAACCAAACTAATTATAATTAGTCTAGTTTAGATTGGATTAGATCTCTTAATTAGTTTGGTTTAATTTGAAAATATCTAAACCAATTTGTAATTGGTTTGGTTTGCATTTCACCTAAAATAAGTTGATTGGTTGGTTTGCATATTCCCCTGGTCAAAATCACATTAAATTGAAAAAAAATATGTAAAAGAGATAGTTTAGAGTATCACGACTGAAAAGTAGAGAACCAACGGTAGTTCATAAACTCCCAACTTCTTTTCAATTATATTAGAAAGTAAAAAGAAAAAAAAAATTTCAATATAACTATACGTCGGCGTAAAAATGAATTCACCTTATGAATACCACAAAGGTCCTGATTGGCTGAAAATTTCTTTTGAACTTTCTAGGTCTTAAAATTCTTTCTGGAAGTGTTTCAATAATTTGATAGAAAAAATTCGGTCCTCTAAAAGAACCTTTAGTCAATGATTTAAAATATTGCCTCTTAAGAAAGTTGTTCTTAATAGATTTTGAATTTATATACCAAAATTTCGTAAAGACATTCTAAACTATATCCTAATATTTTATTGCTTATTAAAAATTAAAAATTATTTTAACCTATTAAGCTCTATTAAAATGTAATTTAATTCTAAACACTTACTGATCAAAAAGCCACATTTACTTCTCTTATTCAACTTAGAAAGCAAAAGTAAAATTTGTATATATAGTAAAAGTAATTAGATAGTTATCTAGCTTATTCTTCTTATCTATCTAAAAATTTTGTATAAATTCTTTATTACATTTGATTTAAAATTTATCTATAAACTGTAAAGTGTACATCCATCTATTCAAATCTCAAAATTCGTTGTTGGTTCAAAAAAGTGCAAATCTAATATGAATTTGAAATTGATACAATCACCATACGTGACAAAATATTAAAATTACCAAATAACAAAATATGACTAAATTAGTATATTTTTATGATATGATAGTTCTTCTTTTTAACAATCAAATATTTCTTTAGACACTATTGGTCATTATAATGAATATAAATATAAATGAGAGATTTTTACTGTAGGTTTTTTCTTAGACCGTCATATTTTAATTATAAATTGTTAATTATTCTACGTATTATTTTAACTTGATGTGATTTTAATTGAATTAAACAGTTAAAAACAGACAATATAGGTCTCGTTCATTTCACCGATTCGAGTTTGCTACAGTAAAAAATTCTCTTAAACAACCACATTTGGGTCATGTTTGGAGTTTGGTTTTATTTTTATTTTTCACGTTTTTTCGAGAAAGAAAAAATGAAAACGAGAGAGAAACAGCGTTTGACACAATTAAAGATAAAAAACGGAAATGAAAACGATTTTTTAGTTTAGTGTGAAATGAGAGAGAAATGAAAAATGACTTTTAGTCGTTTTTCATTTTTTGTTTATGTTTTCTCCTCTCTCGAGCACATAGAGAGAGAGAGAGACATTAATGAATTTTTTTATACTGAAAACAATCTCTTTGATAAAACTAACAAACGCATTTTTAAAAATAATTTCTGTCTGAAATTGAAAATATTTTCATTTTTATTTTCATATAAAAAATAAAATCATTTTGAAACGAATTCTAAACGTATTCTTAATTTTTTTTTACTAGAATAAAAAACTATCGCATAAAATCACATTTTAATTTAAATTAAAAACTCAAATCAACTAGGGAGCGTTTGGTTGCCGTATTCGTGTCATGATTCGAATTATAATTCGTGATTCGTTTCACACAAAAAAAAATACACGTAAATAAAAAATAATTTTAAATTCATACCCATGTTTATTCTAAACCGTGGTCCACTAAATGAATCCTATAATTAAAAACAGAGGCTATCGGTGGTAGGAGGCCCTACAGTGGAAGGACCCAGGACCCATGGTTTATTTTGCAACTTGTGCCAAATGGAGGTAAAGAAGGTGAGGGACTGACTAGTGAGGAGGGGTAGGCCATATAATTGAGTTTTGATTGGCAACAAACGTCGGGCGATTACGAACCGTCCACTCCACAAGTTTTTTTCAAACGACCGTGAAAGATTGAAAAAAGAATCTGAGACTCTGAGTCGCCCTCAAGGCATGAGGCAGTGTGTCAGTTTTGTCAGTCCTGAATTTATCTGATTGCTTACTCCAGACGTTTGCCTCACTATTGCTCTGACCAAACCTTTTCATCCCCATGCGAAAATCCAATTACTGATTGACCAAAAAAAAAAACAACATACGCAAAAAAGTGAATGAGTAAGTCCAAACTCACGTGGTTGTCGCACCAAATGTCCTAACTCTTTTCTTCTTCTTTTTTTGGAAACCAAATGCCCTACTCCTCTTTTTTTTCTTTTTTTTTTTTGAGTAAATTATTTTTTTAGAATAAAACTCAAAAAAATTTTAAATTTAAGTTATAATTTTATTTAATTTTACGTTCGTTTATAAAATTTGAGTTTTAACTGAGTTTTAACTTGAGTTTGGAGCTAAAATCTGAGTTTAATGGGTTGTTCTTTTGCATTTTTGAGTTAGGGTGACGTGAGTAATGATCTTAAGTTGAGTTTAAGTTATAAACTTGAGTTAAAATTGTAACTGAAGTTTGTGTTTGGATGTGCACATTTGAGTTATGATTTGAATTGATAATCGTTTTGAATTTGTGTTTGGGTGAGTCAAAACTTAAATTTGTATTTATATAGTATTTTAATAAAAACTCAATGGTGATGAAAAATTTTAATAGGGTATATGGGTGAAGTTTTATTCGTCTTTTCTTTGTGAATGCATAGAAAAAAAATCATCTCAATCGGAATTAAAACGAAAAAGTTATGGCATTTTTAATAATAAAAAAATATTATTCATTAACTTGAGTTCGAGTTTATGAACTCAAGTTGAAGGATAAACTTGAACTCTAGTTGAAGGAGAAACTTGAACTCCAGTTTAGCCCCAAACTCGAGTTCAAACTCGAATTCAAACTCAAGTTCAAACTCAAATTTTACAAAAGAATATAAACTTAAATAAAGTTGTAACTCGAGTTGAAACTTTTTTTGAGTTTTGTTGTAAAAGAACAACCCCTAAGTTTCTCCTCAACTCAAGTTTTTAAACTCAAATTCAAGTGAATGAACAATATTTTTTCTATTCTTAAAAACGTCATAACTTTTTCGTTTTAATTTCGATTGAGATGATTTTTTTTCTATGTGTTCACGACGAAAAGATGAATAAAATCCCACCCATATGCCCTATTAAAAATTTTCATCACCATTAAGTTTTTATTAAAATACTATATAAATACAAATTCAAGTTTTGACTCACTCAAACACAAACTCAAATAGATTATCAATTCAAATCATAACTCAAATGTGCACATTCAAACACAAACTCAAGTTACAACTTCAACTCAAATTATAATTAAAATTTAACTCAAGATCTACACTCAGGTTACCATAACTTAAAAATACAACAGAACAAAATCATGTGTTTTTTCTAATGAGATCCACCCTAAAGTAGGCATATATTGTGTGTGAAGAAAATAAAGTGTTACACATCTCTTGATATGAAGTGAAGGACTATATATGAAAAATGTTTTAAAATTTTTTTGAAACTTAGGAGGGGCGAGTAAAAATATATGTATTTATGCAATTATATTTGTATGTGTGTGTGTGTGTAAGCATTATAGGTCATGTAAGGTGACTATGTCGAGCGAGCCCACATGAGGTCTCACACTGTATTATGGATTAATAGTATCAATGCTGACATGTACACACTCTAGATGTAGAGTAGATATAACAAGGCTAAAATTTTATAAAAATTTCACAAAAAATCCTATAAATATCATTAGCATTCAGAACGTTACTTTTTTTTTTAGTTGTGGATGGACATTTAACATTAAAACACTAATTGTGTCACGAAACATCATAATTGATATCATCACAATTCTAATACA